CATTTAAGAGAAGGCTCAGGGGAGAAAGTTTGTATAGCTAATGATCCAGCTTGGGATGGTTTATCTCAAAGCCAGGGGAGGTTTGGCTGCATTTGTGCTCTCAGCAGAGAACTGGTTCTGAAGATGTGGGAGATTACAGGAGCTTTCAAGACAAAGGAACATAAATCAAAAAGAATGAAAAGAAAACAAGATCCTTGATCCTCCTCCTGTTAATGTTCTTTTAAAAGTATTTTGCAAGTGAGTGGGGTGGGGGAGGGTAAACAAAGTTTAAAAAAAAAGAATTAAGCCAGAAGGTGAGTGGCTAAAGGCAGTGTAGAGCCCTGGTTGGGGGGGGGGGGGGGCCTCCTCTGTCTTTTTACTTAATTCTCTGTCTTACTATTAACAACCCCAAATGATTAACTAACAATTGGAAAAAGATATCAAGGACATAAGCTGTTTCCTTCCTCTCTTACCCACTCTTGTTTCAATTCCTATTTGGTTCAGAAACTCTGAGCTACAAATCTTCCTTAATGATGAAATGGTTTGGGTTCCACTTAATAATCAAGATCAGAATGCAAAGTAGTGATGAGCAGGTGGAACGGGATGGCTCTATTCCAAAAACATGAAAGTAGATCTGAATTAGATTGAAATAGTAACACTTCACCAAAGCTGCCCAAGAGCTGTGGAAGTCCCATGCCCTCCATAAATTGGGCACCAAGCCTGAACCCCTTACCAGAGCCCCGAATAGAAACCATCCTACTCCAGGGCCTCGTCAGGCTTCAGGTCTTCTCCACGCATTACCAGAACTATAGACAAGAACATTAATTCCCCTCCTGACACTTCCATGGGTAGTCCACTCTCATACATAGGAAACCACTTCCTCAAGAATTAGGGTTGCCATAGAAAATTCAGGATGTCTAGTTAAATGTGAATATCAAATAAACAACAAATAACTTTTCAGTAGGAGTATGGCTAAAATATCACATATTTGGGTGTTGTACTTTTACTTGCTAAATCTGGCAACCCTTCCAATTATCCAACTCAACAGATCCTTGCCAGACATTGCAGATCATTGCCGGATGAGCTGTAGGTTGGTCAGTTAAATTTGAATTTTAGATCAATAACTAATCATCTAATCATTTTTTAGTACGTCCCATGCTACAACACTTGGGACATACAGATTGTTTTAAAAAAAAGAAACAAACAAACAACAAACAACAGATCCAAAATGGAGTCTCTCATGCTAAGTCCCAAGTCAGCAAACCAAGACTTAATACCTAACTTAATTGCAGTTCCAGCCTCTCCTAGGAATGTAACCTTTAACCAGACAATGTGGAATCACCCCATCAGCTCCAGTAAGGTAATTGGCAAGATATACTCCCACTTTTCCCCAAAGGAAGTTGACCTGGCCTAAACAATCCACTCTTTGATAGAATAATCTCCTTGTCCCACTTTCTTCTGCCTATAAAAGTCTTCCATTTTGTACAGATCCTCAGAGTTCCTTTCTACTTGCTAGATGGGATGCTGCCCAATTCATGAATCATTGAACAAAGCCAATTAGATCTTTAAATTTACTCAGCTGAATTTTGTTTTTTAACAATATAACAAAAAGATTTGTTGTCTGTCTAAAATTCCAATTTAACTGGGAATCCTGTATTATTTTCTGCACTTAGCAACCCTACTCACATAACTTGTTCCTTCCAATAATTTCATGGAAGTAAAGCTAAGAGAAGATAAAAATGAGAGCATTCTCAGCTGGGAGGAAAAATCCAGGAAGAGCAAGTCATTGAAGGGTACGTAGACAGGGAGGTAGGGGTGAGTGAAGTCTTACCTTGTTCTTTAATATCTACGTTTTCAAAATCATGGGCTTGGAGATGTTCCTAATATGCTTTGTTTATTAAAATCTCTGTCATATCTGAATTTTCTCACCTTTTCTATCCCTAATTTTGTTTACCTGTTCTCGTTCTCTGGAGCTTTCGCACCCACGTGCGCACTCACTCTCTCCCACCCTCTCTCTCACACACACATTCAGACACACATATCAATCTTATCAGAAATAGACTTTTTAAAGAACCAAGTTTCAATTTTAAAGAGTTTGCCTATGTCATTCATTTATGCTTTTATCTTTATTATTTCCTTCTATTTTCTTTCAATGTATTTTGGGTTATTGTTTGTTTGTTTGGTTGGGTTTTTGTCTTTTTACTTTCTTGAGTTGAAACATTTTATGGTTTTTTCATTACCATTAAGATTTCTTTTTTGGGGCACCTGTGTGGCTCAGTTGGTTAAGCGACTGCCTTTGGCTCAGGTCATGATCCTGGAGTCGCTGGATGGAGTCCCACATCGGGCTCCCTGCTGGGCGGGGAGTCTGCTTCTCCCTCTGACCCTCCCCCCTCTCATGTGCTTTCTTTCTCTCATTCTCTCTCTCTCAAATAAATAAATAAAATCTTAAAAAAAAAAAAAAGATTTCTTTATTGTTTTTAATCCATGTATTTGGAAGTGATATTTTACTGTATAAATATTAGAACTTCTTTTCCTTTGGTTCTTTGTCATTTCTTTCATCTAAGGGTACTCTTTTTACTCTCTTGTTTCATAATTTTGCAGTATGAGCTCATTCTCAGCAGTAGTTTCTCACCCATGTCCTGTGCCCCAGCTTATGCGGAGGTCACTTGCAGTGGTTTTGAGTTTACTCTGCTGAGCCCCATCGCCCTCATCCTTCCAGGACCTCACCTTAATTTCTGTATTACCAAGGTGGTTCTGCTTCTCCTGCGTGAGGTCCCCAGTGTGGGCTTGAGGTTCTGATTTGTCACAGGCACTCTGTGTCCATCTACAAACTAAGGTCACATTGAAAGTGGCAAGCCTGGGTTAACGCTTTGTACAACATATGAGAGCAAAGCAGAGTGGTTAGGAGGCTCTGTGTAGGGAGGTTGGGGATGGGGAGGAAATCTTCTCCCCATCCTCCCAGGATGTGCATGAAGAAGAGATGAAGAGTCCCGGCACAGAGCAAATGCTCAGTAAATATGAGCTATTATTATGGTTAGTATTGTATTGTTATTACGATTAATAATGTACATATTAATGAGGCACAAAATTGGCACACAGCATATGCATAATAAATATTAGCTCTTAAACAATTTCTGATCATTTCAAATAACAAGGATGTCTCTACTAGGTTCATTAATTAATGCTTTTAAATATGTGTATCCACTGTGTACAAGGCATTGGGACTAAAGCCAACACAGTGATCGTGGGTAGCTTTTGTGAGAGCAGCATGATAGATCGAAGACTGCACCACACTAACACATGTTGTGCATGCACGCGTGCGTGTTTGTGTGTGTGTGTGTGTGTGTGTAGCAGACCGGGGTGACACAACATTCCTATGATGATGACAAGTACCACAACGCCTGAGTTATTGTTGTTGCTGTTTTTAGGCAGAAGAGAAAAGTCCCAAGAACACATATAAAATACAAATCATAAATGAGAGGGGCCCCTGGGTGGCTTGGTCAGTTAAGCATCTGCCTTCAGCTCAGGTCATGATCTCAGTGACCTGGGATGGAGCCCCGTGTCAGGCTCCCTGCTCAGCGGGGAGCCTGCTTCTCCCTCTCCCTCTGCCCCTCCACCCCGCTTGTGCTCTCTCTATCACGCTCTCTTTCTCTCTCTCTCAAATAAATAAATAAAATCTTTAGAAAGAAAAAGGAGATTCATGAACCCAATTTGTTCTAAACATACTTAGGAGCTTCCCAATAACTGAATTTTGTACATGGTTTTTAAATTTAAATTTAAATAGAATGAAAAATCCAACCTTCAGTTTGCACCAGCCACATTTCAAGTGATCAGTACTTGACAATGCAGACCACAGATTAGGATACAAATTTCCAGCCCCCAGTTTTCAGCCCCCAAGAGACATAATCCATTTCTAGTCTTAGTGCCATATCTCCTGTTCTTTTAATATCCTGACTGCCACTCAACCCACTCCATCTGCAGTAGGGTTAGCTCCATCTTCTGGAAGATAAAGTCTGAAAAGAAAAGGGGTTGACCACCAACGTACTCCAAAGAACAAAGCAAATTCATCGCCTGAGCTCTACTGATATTTTCTTAATGATTCCATTCATGTCTGTAAATGCTACAGAAGCAGGGCAGGAATTCCATCTGTGCATGATTTGGAGTGTTTTTGCCAATTCCCTATTGGTATGCACAGAGCATTGTGCGTGGTACGTATTCAACAAATGCATGGGGAATGCGTAAATAAGGGACCATTTGGGAGACATTCTCCAGTTAATTATGTTCATGGAAAAACTGAAGGAGATCATTTAAGAAAAATTTCTCTGACCTATTCTTTGGGTAATGTCTTTGACCAAGAGCCTTTCACCCAGAGATACCTGATGATAGCAAGAGAAAGACAGGGGGAGGAGGAAGTTGTCACCAGATGTCTCTGCTCAGATGAATGACTAGAATTGTCCCGTCCTGGCGCACCCCTCATGTGTCGGGGGTAAAGACTGCCACGGCCGGGACATGGGCCAAAGCGCTGGGAGCAGGCTTCAGGGTTTGAGGGGATGAAATAAAGTGCAGTATCCCCACCAGCAGGGACATCGCAGACACGGAAGGGCCAACCTACACCAGAGACCACAGCACAGCCCTTCAGGAATTGCTGAGAGTAGCTCAAGAAGGTTGGGAAGCTCTTACAAATAAATGCACAGGAAAAAATGCGGATACTCTGACAGAAAAGAGATGAGGAAAACTGCCTTTTTTAAAAAAAACGCAAATCACTTAAGAGCTGAACAAAGAACTCTCAGATTAGGTCCACTTTGAGAAGGTCATGTGCCAAGAGAAAAGATGTGGTGCCCACCTCCAGGAGTAATGTCAGCAGAGCAAAAGCCCAAAACGAGGTTAGGACTGAGGGAAACAAATGCTCAAAAATTATAAAGGATATTTATTAGTTTCCTATTGCTGGTAAACAAATTGCCACAAACGTCATGGCTTAACATAACACAAACTTATTATCTTACAGTTCTAGGGCTCCGAACTCAAAACCAGTTTGACTGGGCTAAACACAAAGTGTCAGAGGGCCTGCATTCCCTCGGGAGGCTCTACCAGGTATTTGATTTCCTTGTCTGTTCCGGTTTCTAGAAGGGTCCTGCCTTCCTTGGCTCATGGTCCCACATGGTTCCATCCTCAACTTGCACAGTTGCATCGCCTTCTCCGTCTCTGATCATCTCGTCTCCCTGTTATAAGAACACTTGTGATGACAGTGGGCCCACCCAGATCAGCCAAAATAATCTCCCCATCTCAGGATCCTTAACCTGACTCACACCTGCAAAGTCCTTTTTACCAAATTTCCAGGGATTCACACATGGCCCGTCTTTGGGAACCATTATTCACCCAATGCAGGCATACTGTGAAATGAATATATCATGGAGGCAATGATGTGATGCTGAGCAGCGAGAAAGGAGAAGTGAACCTCCTTGATTCCCTTATGGATTCCAACTTCTCTGACAGGAAGCTTGATCCCTGGGCTGATAAATGTGGGACTCATGCCCCTTCTCTAACCCCCACAAGCTAATACACCCTATTTCCCCCAAGTCTCCATGAATCATTGTGCTTTCCTCTGTTAGAGCATTTAATCACCCAACAAATATTTATTGAGCACCTACTATGTGGAACCAATATTCTAATCACCCAGGATATATCAGTGAGCAAAACAATTGAAGGTTCTTATCCTCAAAAAATTATCACACCAGTAGGGGTAGACACACATTAAAGAAGAAGAAGGAGGAGGAAGAGGAGGAGGAGGAAGGAAGGAAGGAAGGAAGGAAGGAAGGAAGGAAGGAAGGAAGGAAGGAAGGAAGGAAGGAAGGAAGGAAGGAAGGAAAGTATATGGCATATTTGAAAGTGATTAAATGCTATTTAAAAAATGAAGCTGGGGAGAAGCGGGGGGGAGTGCCTATCAGGAGGTAGTTGTGATGCTAGAAGCCAAATCGGTGGTTAGGAAAGACTTAGCTGGGAATATGGCATTTGAACAAAGCCTTGAAGGGTGAGGGAGGGAGCCACACCTTTCCTTAGATTCCCTAAGAACAGAAATAGCAAATAAGGCAAAGGCCCAGCAGAGGAGCAGCGGGGGGAGGATTGGAGCAGATGGGGGCTAGCTGGGCTGCAGGAGAATCAACAAGGGGACAGTTGCAGGAGCTGAGAACAGATCCTAATGGGAGGGCCAGCCAAGGAAGGCCTTGTCACATTGGCTTGCACAGGACTGTGAGCTCCAGAGGGCAGGGACCTTGTCTCATTCTCTTTGGTGTCCCTTGCACCTGCAGAGTGTGGGCATGCATAGTTAGCGCTTGGGAAATGGGGCATGCTTTTCTCTCTTCTTGGCCGGCTTCTCCTTCCCGTCTGCATCTAGGACAGAGGCCTAATGTCTGTCACTAGATAGTGTGGAAAGCACCCCCAGGCCAAAAAGTAGGAGTTGCAGGTGCCTGGGCAGAATTCCTGTGTGCTCTGCTCCCACCGTCTGCCTACCTACCCGCTCAGCAGCTAACCGACTGCCCTTCGTCCGTTCGCTCCTAGTGTCCCCGGCCAACGCCATCTCACCTCTGCCCAAGGGCCCGGCAAGCCTTTTGTCCTGTCGTCACCTGCTGGGAGCGCGAGCCCAGCCGAAACGTGGAGAGACCGGCAGAACGTGCGGTGGGGAAGGAGGTGCGGGCCGGGCCGGTCTGCGGGCGGGGAGCCGGAGGGGAGCGGGTGCGCGCGGGCGGCCGGCCTGCGGGCGGGGGGAACAAAGGGTTAAGCGATTTGCATTACTGGATGCGTGCGGCTGGGCTCCGCGGCCGGCGAGCTGCGCGTGGGTGGTCCGGTACAGTCGCGGGCAGCAACCTATTAGTGGTATCTCGGCGTGATTTATGCAGCTGTCAAGCTGCCTTCACCGCGACAAGTGAACTGCGGCCCCGCGCCGCGCTCCTTCCGAGACCATCAGTAAATGGGGCCAAAGAGAAAGAAAAACAGCCCAAGGTGCCACCCCTCGGCCTCCGGGGTCCTCTAATGACGAGTCCCCCCTATAGAAAAACATCCAGCTGCCCCCAGGAGGGCGACTCACAGAGCCCCACTGTCTGGGGCGCCAGGCCGGCCGGGGGGCAGGGGGGCTTGGCAGGGAGCCGCCCGCCACTAGCAGCAGGACAGACCAGCCCCCCAGGCGCAGCGCGGACAAGGGCCCCGGGGGCGACGGTGACTGTGCCAGGGGTGGACGTCGTCCTGCGGCGGGGTGGGGGAACACGGGCACCCCAGCATGCCCCCCACGAGGTCCGGCAGCCGCCCCACCCCTTCAGCCACCGCCGGACCTCCTTCACCCTGCGGCACGGGCGACACCGGCCCGAGAGGACCGCGCAAGGGACCTGCGTCCATTCCCACGTGAGCCCGCTCGCCTCTGCGCTCCTCATCCCGCCTGCCCGCCCGCACAGGTGACCCTGGGTCCTTCCACAGCCACCAGACGCCAGCAGCCCCCCAGGCCCACACCCACACCTGCACACACACCCCTGCATGCACACCCCCACCACACGCACCTCTACATACACACACCCCTACATACACACACACACACACACTCCTACCTATACATACACACACATACCCCTACCCATACACACACCTACATACACCCACTAGATACACAGCCCTCCATACACGCATATACTCTGCACACCTCTGCCTACACGCGTGTACACACATCCCTACATACACACACCTACACGCACACACGCACCTGTTATCCACAGAGGCCGTGGCCCCCAAGGAGAGGGCTATCTCTTTTATTCAGTGTTTGATTGACAGTGAGGTAGCCAAGGCCATGTGCAAAGCTTTTGAGGCCTGGGGAGTGCGTGTGTGTCTGTGTGTGTGTGAGAGAGAGAGAGAGAGAGAGAGCATACAACAGCAGGACTGCACTTCTTAATAATGTCAGGGACTTTCACAGGCCTCTTTTCTCTCGGCTGCCAACCGGCATGTGGTGTATTGTGTTTGCCGGACAGCAGTGGAGGGCAGGTGTTCCACACTGGACTGATTCCCGGCCAGAACATTTCCGAGGTGGGGGTGGCAGGCAGGGACGAATTCCTGATTGCTGCGGACACAGAGGGAGCCGCGGAAGGAGCTGCGCGCTTGCCCGCACGTCGGCCAGGAACTGCTCTGCCTTCCCTCCCTTGTCCTTCAATAGCTCGGCCTTCCCTTGACTCCATAGGACCCATGGCCGCACAATGCGGGTGCCCTGAAAAGGAAACTCTAAGCTGGACTCAGAAGGACACAGGTGGCATTGGCAGCTGCATGTTCCCTGGGTCTCTGAACTTGGCAGAGCTCCTTGGACTTGGTCATTTAACAGTCCTGTCAACACAGGCGGGAAGGGACAATGGCATTTTTAATAGGCTTCCTGTTTGTTCAGAGAGGAAGCTGGTAATGCCTCACTTCAAAATGGTGCCTGGAGGTAAATGTGCCAACTGGGCCTCCAAGCACCTGATCCGCCTCCTCTTTGCCTATTCAGCCGGAAGTGTAAAAGGTTGACGGTTAGCTCAGGGCATGGCAGCTCTTGTATTTCCCACTGCCAGGGGCCTCTCAAGGACCCTTGTGCCCTTCTGTTTTCCAGGGCACCATTCTTCTGCTCTGGTCTGGGCATAAAGGGAACAGCTGCGCTGGAAGTTGAGCCTGGACCCGGCTTGGCCAACATTCCTTGGAGAATTCCCATCTTGGCCCCCCTCCGCTGTGCCCCCACGTCCGGTTATTACAGGCAGTCTGTGGGTCCTTGCTTGGACTTTCAAATCCAAATCTTGGAACTTCTGAGGCTTGTGATCTCCTCCCTCAGGGGAATCCCTCACACCACACTGCACCTTAAAGGGTTCACACAACACAAGGGGCCTTTCTGGGATTTGTTTTCTGGTCAGCTCCCCCAGAGACCCTAGACAGAGAAGGTCACAAAGAGGTGGAAAGCATTCTTTTTCTTTCCGGGTGCTCTCGAGAAAGGAGGAGGCCAGTGTTAGAAGCATAAACCATGACTGTTTGTCAGGTGCTTTTCTGACATACCCTGTCAGAAGGCTATACCTGGAAATAACAGTGGATCGGGCCCACATTGATTTTTTTCTGCTAATGCGTCCCATGTAGGGTCTTTTCAGACAAATTTATGTAAGAGTTGCTTTCTTTTCTGAAAAGTTGAGAGAAGGTAAAATTTCATACCAGAGTCACATGCTTTCTTCTGTGGGAGCTGTGAAGTCAGTTCACCATCTCCTCTGTTGCCACAAGGCCTCAGCCCCACCTCATCCCATCCGGGTCATTGCAATGATCACTCTTTCTTCTTTCACCATGACCACCTTTCTTAAATCTAAGCAAGATCTCACTTTTCCCTCCTCTAAAATCTTCATTGGCAAACCCTCTGCCTAAGTCCCAAACTTGAGAGTGCCATTAAAAGCCCTTGACAAGGGGTGCTTGGGGGTCTCAGTTGGTTAGGTGTCTGCCTTCAGCTCAGGTCATGATCCCAGGGTCCTGGGATCGAGTCCCATGTCGGGCTCCCTGCTCAGTGGGGAGCCTGCTTCTCCCTCTCCCTCTGCTGCTCCCCCTCCCTGCTTGTGCTCTCTTGCTCTCTCTGTCAAATAAATAAATAAAATCTTTAAAAATAAAATAAAATAAAAGCCCTTGACAAGATGGATCTATCCAGTGTCTATTTCTGTACCCTCCCAGCAGAAGATACAGGTGGCATGTGGTAATCTGGGTCTGGGTAGACATCATGATGGGATTAAAAATGCATAGATTCAATTAGGGCTAGCACCTGTGGAAGAGAAAATGGGAGAGTAGCTGGAGAAAACTGCAAGAACTGTCAGAATATAAGGAAAGTTTCACACACACACAACACACACACACACACACAGTGAAGGAAATGCCAAGAACAGAATAGGATCTAAGAAAGTTGCACCAAGGCCATCAGGGAGTGATGTCAGCCCACACTGAGGGAAATTTAACCAACAAAGGAGTTCCATGGCTTCTAAGAATGCGCCAGTCTTTGTATCCCTGCCTCACTCAGCCACTGGCTCAGAGCAGCCTATCGAAAATGCATTTGGCCTTGATGAAACCCAGCATGGATTGGTTTGTGGACTGCTCAAAGAGCAGCAGCTGGGGTCCTTGGTCAACCCCTGAAACTGGAGGTCTTCAAGGGGCATTCCCATAGCTGCCACAAGATACAAGTCAGCCAAAGAAGGTAACCTATAGTTTCCAGAACAAGCCATTTAATTCCACTCACCCATCCATTTTTTGTTCATGCCTGCCATGCTTTCTCTTCCATTCTACTACCAACTGAAATTTTACTCATCCTTCAAGGCTCCACTCAAGTGCGACCTTCTCCAAGAGGCCTTTTATCTACACGATGATACTTTGCCTGCCCCTCCATGATAGTATCTCTTTGGATTAGAACTAGTTGTCTGCACATCTCATCCCTGGCCTTGGGGGTGGGAACTGTTTCATTTCTCTTCATATGAAGTAGTCTGGCATTACAGCTCACATAGATTCAGGCACTTATTCATTCAACAGGATTGATTGTTTATTATTATGTGCCAGGCACTATACTAGGCCCTGCTGGTCTGGCACTGTACAAGACAGGGAAGGAACTTACTTTCCAGTCTGGGTAAGGGGACTAGCAGAATGACAATGTTGAGAATTAAGCAATCAGGAAGAGTTGATACTATAAGACCCACAGGAGAAAGGGGACAAGAGGGCAGAGGACTGGGCCAAGGTATCATGGAGTAGGTACTATGTTTTTAAAAATGTACAGCAACAGTATATGAGGTCTTGGGATGCTAATGCTGGGAAGGTGAAGCTGAGAACCCTACAGAAGTTAGAACTCTCAAAGGGCTACAATCCCAAATTGGGAATTAATAATCTTCAGTGGCCCCCATTGGTCCAGCAAAATTACCAGGAAGCTTCTATCTACAATGGTTCTGGATGGGCAAAAAAATTCTCTGTGCCTGTGTCTTACACGACTTTAAAATTCTTATTTTAGCTATGCACATGGTTTCTGAAACCCCAAGCCAAAACCAAGAAATTAACAAAGAAATATAAAGCAAAAGCTCTTCTGAAACTAATTCTCCATTAATAATTACAAAATACTTAAGAAAACAATCCGCCGTGAGTAAAAGTCAGCAGCTACAACAGATGATTAATTCATCAAGGGCTTGAGATAATAGAAAAACAATGTAATAGAAACCATAAAGTAAGTATGTTTAAAGTATAAAAGCATTTTCTTAAGTATTAGAAATATAAGGAAAGAATTAGGCTCTATGAAAAATGAACCAGCAGATTTGAAAAAGAATGAATCAAAACTTCTACAAATAGAAAACATTTTCATTAAAACTAAAATGGGCAGGTCGAACAGCAGATCACCCAAGAGAGATTTGAAAAAATGATCAGTTATAGCACAGAAAAGTAATGAGGTAGAAAATATGAAACAGATTAAGAAAACACAGATGAAAGAATGAAATGGGTCCAACATATGTCTAGTTGGAGTAGAAGCAATATTCAAAGAAGTAAAGTCTGAGAATTTGCTCAAATAGATGAAAGACATGAATGTTCAGATTTAATAAGTATGAATCCCATGCAGAATAAATAAAAATAAACCCACATCTAGAATAGCAGCTTGAAACTGCAAACCATGAATGTTAAAGAGAAATTCCTTAAAACAATCAGAGAGAAATTACCCACAAAGAAAAAAAATGTAACTAACATAACTCAGTAGTTAGAGTGGAAGCCAGAAGACAGTGGAATATCCCTAGGTAAAAACATTCCACTTAAAATTCTAAACTCAGATAAAATTCTATACTTCTTTCTGTAATCAACAGCACACAAATTAAAGACATTTCAGTCAAATAAATGCCAACATAATTTATAGTTATAATTTATAATACACAGATTCCCACTCAAAAAGATTTGAAGGGATGCACTTCAATGAGGAGGATAATTGAACCAGTGCAAATAGAAGAGGTGAAGATCAGCTAATCAGCTGTTTAAAATTTAGATAAATCTAGGGGCGCCTGGATGGCTCAGTCAGTTAAGTGTCTGACTCTTGATTTTGGCCCAGGTCATGATCTCAGGGATCATGTAGAATTGAGCCCCACATGGGGCTCCACACTGAACGTGGATCCTGCTTGAGATTCTTACTCTCCCTCTGCCCCTTCTCCCCCACACTCCCCCCTGCCTCCCCAAACTTTGCACGCACACACGTGTCCTCTCTCTCTCTCTATATATATATATATATATTTTAGATAAACCTAAATAAACATTGGCTATGAAATTAATAGTAATAATAATGAATAATTTAGGATAGCTTAAACCCAAATTGATTGAAAGTACTTGACAAAAATCACATGCAAACCATGGGAGGATGTCAGGGAACAGAATTGTTCAAAAAGAGGATGAACACAATAGATCTTGTCAAGATCTTGCTAGATCTTGTTAGGTCAAAGATGCATATTAAAATTCTAAGGGTGCTAAATGCAATGTGATACTCTGGATTAGATCTTGGAACAGAAAAAGGACATGAGTGGAAAAATTGGTAAAATCCAAATAAAATCTAGAGTTTAATTAACAGTAATGCATCCCTGTTGCTTTGTTCTTTTAATTTTAACTAATGTGCCATGGTTTATAAGATGTTAACAGGGAAACTGGGTGAGAAGTATAAAAAACTCTCTATTCTATACTTGTAACTTCTGTGTAAATCTAAAATTGTTCCAGGATTAAAAAATTATTAAAAAAATACAGACAAAAATTTTTAAGTGTAAAGGTACCCACTAAAGACTAGAACGGGAAAGTATAATCTCCCATCAGTAGAAGGTAGAGAGAAATATAAAGAAAACTTGGTAAATCAAAATAG